TGTGTGTGTGTGTGTGTGTGTGTGTGTGTGTGTGAGAAATGGGGTTGAACCGATAAATTATTGTGGGTGTTTGAGGCGCCAAAACTTTTTTTTTTCCCTCCTAAATATTTAGTAACTAAATTATTTATTAGTGACAAAATTATTTCTTCACCAAAGATAGAAATATTGGTCACAAAAATCGTTTTGTCACTAAATAATATTAAAATATTAAAAATTATTTGTGACAAAAATATATTCGTCATTAATAATTTTATAATTAGTGACTAATTTTTTCGTCACTAAAAGTCTCAAAATTTTGGCCCCCTCCGAAAATATTAGCGGGAAAATATTTGGTGACAAAAAAAATTATAAATAATGACGAAAAATAATTTCGTCACCTAATTTTTTTATTATGATTTAGATTGGTGACGAAATTTTATTTTTGTCTCCAAAAATGGTACATTTGGAGACGAAATATGATTTTCGTCATTAAAAGATACGTTTATCGTAACAAAAAAAAAATTCGTCATTAGTTTTCGTCTCTAAAGACTATTTTTGTTGTAGCGAGTACAAGAAGATGACATGCATCGAGAGAGATTCGGAAGTATAAAAATACCCCTACTACTGCTACTCGCACCCATACAACCAACCCCTAAGCCTCTCGATTTTTTTAAACAAACAAGTTAAGAAGAACTTAACTGAAAATTAAAATACAAGAATCCCCACATAATCAACCCACCAAACCACTCAAAACAAAACCAAAAGAGCTAAACCAACACCCAAGAAGAAACTAAATAAACTAAACCAACACAATCTAATCAACACTCCCAAGCCTCTGACAATGCCCACACCTCTGCAGCTACAACACCCATCACCCTCACGCCTCTGCAGCTACAACCACCCACTCCTAAGCAGCCTGCAGCCCCCCTAAGCTGCTGCCCTCACCACCCTAAGCAGCCTGCTACCAACACCCAAAGCCCACACCGCCAGGACAGCTGCTGCCCTCACCACCCTAATCCGGCCAACCACACCTATGCTGCAATCCGGCCGAGAAGACTCCACGCTAATGCTGCTGCGGCTCAACATTAACTACCGGAAACACCCACTGTAGATCAACTCCACTGACAATGCAGTTCATCACCCACGCCAAAAACTACTGTAGCATTATCTCCCAAGGTCCAGCTGCTGCAGCATTCTTCTAACTCACTGTCAAAACCCACACCACGCCACAGCTGGGACACCCCCACAGCAGATCCAAACACCAACCAGCAGTTCTACTTCCATTCCAGATCTACATCTTTCACCCCTCAAACTCTCACACAAAGAGGAGCGCTCGAATGAAAACCAGACAGATCTGAATCGGCTCCGACACCCAAGATTCCGCCCAAACCAAGCAACGAAACTTCACCAACAATCTGAACCAGATTTAACCCCTCAAAATCCTACTCGTAAAAGAGCGCACGAGTGAAGATCCTGGACGTTCCCTGCTGAAAAACAACACACCAATACCCCCAAAGAAACCGCTAACTCGGCCCGGAATCACCAACAAAAACCCACACACCGCAGCATACCAAACACACCTAGGTGGGAAAATAATGGGGGACTCAAGTTTATTAACGGAAAGACAACATTCAAACATGGAAGAAGCTAGCCCAGTCGACCGCCATAGCCAAAGGCGGCGGCCGGCCGGCCGGCCCAAAGAGAGACCTGGGGAGGAGGTTTTTAGAAAGAGAAAGGGAGAGGTTTTTAGACAACATTCATCTCTCTCTATCATGTCTCTCTCAGCTCATTTTCTCATCTATCAGTTCTCCGGCGAAAGGCTTGCGACCTCCGGCGAAAGGCTTGCGATGACGGAGCAGAGGCTTGCGACCTCCAATCCAACTACAAAGGCTTGCGACCTCCGGCGAAAAGGCTTGCGACCTCCGGCTACCATTGGTCGACTGTAAGTTTCTCTACCCTTCTTCTTTCTCCTCTCCTCTCATGTCAGCCGTGTCCGAGGAAATCATGCCGAATCCGACACATATCTCACACCCGCACCCGTGTCGCGTCGTGTCGACACGGGTACTCTGCCCTAAACCGGCGAGTCCATGTAACACAATGTGGCAGAGCCAAGTTGGTCTGGTTTTGGCCTCCTGTTTGTCTGGTTCGGGCTGATGCTGTTAGGCCTGGTGGTGTGGCCTGCTAATGCTTGACTGCTGATTTCAAGAGGGCTGGAAGATGGGCTGCTCTGTGTAGGAGGTGGTTGGAGCCTAGTGTTGTGAAGGCCTCAAATAAACTGCTACTGCAATTTAGCTACATGTAATGTGTTGAATGGATGCTATGATACTTGGGTGCTGCTCTTAAATGGATGCTTTGTGATGAATGGGTGGGAATTGGTTTGGAGCTTTTTGTCAACTGCTGCTGCATGTTTTTTTTTTTTCCTTCTAGTTTGTGATGTTCTTCAGACAGAGCATCTCTGTTTTTGCAGTAGTGATGGAGGCACCGTTTGTAGGTCTGCAGTGTTGTTGTGATGCCGTTTTCAATACCTCATGAGGCTTTGTGATGGAAGGGTGTGATTTGATCTGCTCCTGCATGTCTATTGTAGAAACTAGGAGGTTGGAGCATGTCTATCTGCTGCTGTTTTTGGAATTTAATTATGTAGAGAGGAAATTGTTCTGCTATTGCATGTCTTTCTGCTGCTGCTGTCAATTAGGTGTTTTTTTGTGCTGTTGGTTTCTTACCAACTAGGAGGTTGGAGCTTTTTCTAGCTCCAAGCTCCTCTTTATTGATGTTTGCCTATCATATGTAATTTATATGCAGTTCATCAATAAAGTTTTATTTTGTCGATAAAAAAAAAAAAAATATGAATCAAACCCAGATATTAGTGGGGAAAAACAATGCCATTTCATTTTTACTTTGAGAGGTAAATGGTGTAACGTTAATATCATAATTTCAAATAGTTAAGGCATGATGAATGAGTTGGAACCATACAAGAATCAGTTGTTCATAGAATTATCAGGGTTTTGTTTGTTCAGTTCAAGTCTTATATATAATATATATATTTATTATGGAAGAGGTAGTTAATGAATGTGATTAGGGGGAGGTGAGAGAAGTTCGGTTTTGTTTGTTCAGTTCAAGTCTTTTCGTAGTTAAGGCATATGAAAAGTTAGGTTTACCTGAACAATGGGTGGTGAGAGAAACCCAAACATTTCAAGCCCATTAATGCTTTCTGAAGGCTGTACGGGTGGCAGTCCCTGCTTTCCTATATTGCTCTGCCTTTCGATTTCTTGATTTAGCCTTTCCAACACCATTTCCCATCACTTCTCTGCTGAAACATTTACAAATCTCTCACTTGGACACTCCTCTAAGGAAACGGGAATGGATCGTCGGTCGCCCTTCCCCGTCGCCCTTTCCTGTCGCTCCCAAAATGACGTTGTTTTGGGGGCGAATTTTCAAAAAAGAAAAACGCAGAAGTGGGAGGAAGGAGAGGAAGAGGGAGGGAGGAGGAGGAGGAGGAGGAGGAGGAGGGGAAGGGCCGGACTGGAGGGGGCCATAAATACAGGGGAGGAGGACGAGGAGGTGGAGACGGGTCGGAGGCGGAGGCGACGGCGGTCGCAGGTGCTGCGACGAGGTGGAGCTGCTGCGACCTGCGACGGCTGCGACGGTGGCGAGGGACGAGGACGGCGAGCTCGCAGCCTCCTCCCTCCTTCCTCCCTCTCCCTCTTCCTTCTCTGCGTTTTTTTTTTTTGAAAATTTGCCCCCAAAACGACGTCGTTTTGGGGGCGACAGGGGAAGGCGACGGGTGATTCGGATTCCTAAGGAAACCTGTAATATCATAAAATAAGAGAAAAGTCAAAACATCATATAGGAAAAAAATATATACATATATATAATGATAAATTCACACATATTTTGGAGTGCTTGGATGAGTAAAATGAATGGCGCTTAATTATTTCAAGGTCCAAATTTATTAGCATGTAGAGCCAACCAATGATGTTCACCATGGTCTAGGAAATTTTTATAAAAAAGAAAGCTGATGTCTTCTGTTAATGAAGCTTTTCCACGCATTAAGCATTATACAAAATAAAAAATAAAATCCATTAAATAACAAAATAATTTTTGCAAACAGAGATTTCTGACTGTAAATCGGAAATTTAAAAAGAATTACAAAATAAATTACCTTGAACAAAGGCCCAAGGAGCCCACCATCTTGTATTTCTGATATATAGCTACTCATTTTGTTTGGATTGAGCACATCAAAGAACTTAACCAAGCTTCTGAATCCTGCAAAGTTGAGCAAAGATTGCAGACCAAATAATTAGAAATTTTGATGCCAAATTTTTTTTTTTTTTTTAAAAGTCTCTGAAAATACCTCTAACTCATGAAACCTTGAGAAACATAATAAAATTGTTCAAGCAACATATAGACCTGATATAAATATAAATTAGAACTGAATTCACTGTCGTGGATATCCCTTTTGGCTAGTAAGGCCTTCTTGAGTGTTATGCGATGCATAGGTTTTGTTTGGCCTTCTACAGTTGATGTCTTATTCAAGCAAGTCATGGCTACCAACATCAATGTTTCTATCAGTAGTTGAGCCATTACCAATGTAATTTGCATGAACAAATCTTGTCAGTGTTTAAAAAGGAAATCACACTCCCTTCAAAAAAAGTGGTAACACAAGTATTAAAATTGATTTTGCAACTGTCAGTTTTTCTTAATAATTGATATTTCTTAACATAAGGAAATCACAGATGTGTCCCCAAAAATGTTATTTGGAGTTTCGTTGTACGCACTTGTTTTCCTACTAGGGTTTGTTGGGGGACTCTATATGAGGCCTTTCTGTTATCAATGTCAATTAATGTCAGGATTTTTTTTTAAAATTTTCTTTGCTTTCTGAGTTTTTTTTTTTTTTTTTTTTTTTTCCTTTGTTTTTAAATTTTTTTTGTTTTTTTTTTTTTTTTGGGTGTGATAACACAATTTTCATCTAAAATTTTCTGCAGAGACCCCAAAAAATGACAGTTTCAAGGAAATCAAAATAACATTTTGTTTGTCAAAGTCACAATTAATGATATGCATAAAATTCGCACTTACCCTAAAACCCCCAACACTAGTTTGGCCAAGTATCCAAGAACAGTCATGGCCCATGCAGTCTCCGCCTGAATGAATCAAGCAGCAAAGTCAGGAGACAAAATCAGATCTCTCTTCTTTTTCTTTTTTCTTTTTTCAAATAGAAATTAGTTTGACAAAAAGAAACATCAAAAATAATATTTTCAAATTTTTAAAAATTACTTCCACACCCAAAAAAAGATAAAACCATATAAAAATGATGAGTGTTTTTTTATTTTTTCATTTCTTTCATCAAATTAGTTTTTAGTTTTATTGAAAATTTTTCAGAAAACATATTCTCAAAAACTGCTTTTGAAAAAATGTGCAGGTCAGCACATTAAAAAAATTTCAAACCATCACCTTTTCACCTTGAGGATACATCTCTTCTAAAGCCTTTACATCTTCTTCCAGAAGAAGCAGCTCCTACAAGGTTAAGAATAAGTCAGTACCCGATTCCAATCTATCTAACCATGGATACATAGACAAGTCAACCAACAATGTAAACTTCAAATTTCATAAAAAATGATGTAATTTCTACAAACCCTAAACGGCCCCTAAGCATATAATAGCAATTGGAAAAATAGCAGGAAACCTTGTAATTGTAGTTATCAATTGTTATGTCTTAAATGAAAACAATCTTGTAGTTGGATCATGATTCATGACATTAATTTCTGATGCAAACATTTTAACAGAAGAAAAGAAGCTTTTACAGATCTCAGAAATGATATTCAAATTCAACAAATTGAATCTTAGACCCTACATCATCTGTAAAACCAACTTTGGGCTGAAGTACACCAAATTATAAGATGTACCAATTTTCTTGCTATGTCTTAGGGTGGACTTAAACCATGCACCTTCCCTTTTAGCCATGGCAAGGCACCCTTCAGCTAACAATACTGATAAAGGTTAATACCTTTTCTACTGCCTTTACATTTTTACGCCACTTCCTTCCCTTTGAGCCACTCTTTTCTGGCGTATTGGTTTATGTTTGTTATGAAGCAAAGTATCAGTTTTGATTGGATATATTTTCATTTTAATGTTTTCGTTCTATTTTCATCATTGAAGGTTATGATTAAAAATTTGGAGCAAGTAGTGAACGTGGTTTTGAATTCATTCCAAGATCCTTATCATCGAGTGTGATGGGCAACTATTAATGCAATTGGACAGTTGTCCTCAGGTTCAGGCCCAGATTTGCAAGTTCAATATCATCAACACTTGCTACCAGCTTTGGTTGCAACTATGGATGATTGTCATAATCCCCGCATCCAGGTTAGTTCTTTTGGTGCTTTGAAAATTGTAAATTTTAGATGGTTACAATTGATTTTCTATCTTGTCCTTGGTCCTGCAAATATCAATTGCATGATTAAATCTGATTTATGCATGATTAATGTGATTTTGGTTGTTCACCAGTGTTTTAGCGATTTAAATTAACAAACTCTGAAATACTTCTGTAAGCAATTGTGAGGGCTTCAGTCAAAAAAACTTCCTCGAGAGCCAAAGCCTTAAGGTACTTGAGATCAATTTTTTTCCTATGAATGGGTATCCACACTAGCAAATATTTGCATCAAATGGCTGAAAATCACTTAGATTCCAAATCAATAGTTATTTTCCGATTTCCAAATCGAAAGCTTCAGTCACAGCAGAAACTATGTGAGACAGATAGGGTGAAATAGAAGTGTGTCATGAGCCTAAGGGAAACTGGTTAGAGTTCTGCTAAATGTAGATAAAGCGGGCTATTGAAGTGGGTGGGAGGATGTAACAAACAACATAGGATAAAAAATGTTACTGTTTAGAAAAAAAATGTTTTTAGAGTTGTAGCCAAACATTGAAAAACAAAATGAATGTAAATTATTTTACATGAAATTATTTTTGCTGTAAATTATTCAAAGCAAACAGAGCTTGAAACAAATAGAAGTTTCCTTTAATTATGTTGTAAATGATGAATTTTTTTTTTTTGTTTTTTTGTTTTTTTTGCAGATGCAACATTTTTGAGTACGTGATGATATCTTCACATATCGATATTAGAGTTTACTATTGATATCAAAACAAGATATAATATATATGCTTTTTTATTTGTATTATCGATACTTTTGTTTTGTTTTAAATGCAAAAATTTGAGTTCTTAAATATCAAAAAAATATTAGTAATGTTGGAGGATATTTTATATATTTTTGTAAAGAATATTTGGTTGACAATTGTTACAAGATACATATATATTATTCTTCTTATGATTTTGTGAATGTGAATGTCGATGTAAATGTGTGTGGAAGTGGATGTATCTTATTTTAGAAAATATTAATAATTTGTACATGGAATTAATTAATAAAATATATATTGATTTTATGAAAATAATATTATTGCGACAATAATAAACCGTCGCTAATGTAATCACCATTTCCTTACATTTTATTAGCGACGGGTTAACCTTTTGCATATACATATTAGTTCAAATCTTTAGTGATGGTTTAAACTGTCACAAATACAATATTAATTTAATTCTACTTTTTTTTGCGACGTTTTAGACTGTCGCTAATAATACTTTTCGCGACATCAAATAACATCGCTAGAAAAGGTTTTTGCGACGGCAACCAACATCGTCACTAAAAGTGAAGTTTTTTTTTCCTTTTTTTTCTGTCAGGTTAAACCGTCATAAAAACAATTGATTAGCCGTCACCACAACAAAGAGACGGTTTGTAAATGTCGCAAATACTTTTTGTCACGCCTCCTTTCGTCACCTCCCATTTCCTGTCGCTACTCCGTTGCAAAAAGTCTTTTGCAACGATATGAGAATCTTTTGCGACATTTAAGACTATCACAAAAGTTCCGATTTTTAGTAGTGTGATCAGGCAAAATATATGTGTCATTGGTCTTGTTCTCTCAATTTTGGCACTTTTGAAGCATTCTCATTGGATGTGTATTAAAAATATTTGTTAAAGTGCATTATACGACAAAAAGTGATAATATTCAAAATTTGTGCTGTGTTTTCTATTTAATTCATTCTTAGACCATTCACATTGTATTTGTTGAAAAATATGTGTTAAAGTGTGTTATACGACAAAAAGTTATAAAAGTGAGATTTGTATCAAAATTAGTCTATGGGTGCTCCAATAGAGTTGTATTCTGTAGTTCCTATATTCAAAATTTGTGTTCTCTTGTATTAAATTCATTGTGTTAAAAATATTGAATCATAGTGTATTTTATATGGTGAAAACTGAGTGAAGCCTGGGATTTTTTGTATTCAAAATTTGTGGTATCTTCTTGTATGTAATTCACTCTTTGTAGCATCATTGTGGATGTTTTAAAAACGTTTATTGAAGTATGTTAAAAAAATAAAAAATGAAATTGGTTTCAAGTGTTTGTTACATTAGTGGATGTATGGGAGTTTCAATGTTCAATGTTAAACTCTGATTAATTAATGAATGTATGTAATTGTGTTAATACTCGAGAATCATAATTTGGTGGTTGTGGATGGGGGCAATGAGAAGGGGATGGTATGATTGCTGAGGGGGTGGTGGTGATGATGGTCTGGAAGTTGCAGAGGTAGGGAAGGGAGAGGATGTAGAAGAAAGGAGGAAGAAGAGAAGAGAAAAGCAAATGAAATGTAAATTTTTCATTATTTTGTAATTTTGTTTATCCAATTCTCACGCTTAGTGTAAGTAACAAAACATTCCCACTGTTTTCTTCTTTTTTTTATGTAAATAATTACTCCAAATCTTTTTTGGTATTGTGCAGATCCAACAAAAGGACCTGAAGCCATGCTTATTGCTGGATTATGCAAATTGGGATTAAGATTATAGTAATATTGTGAGTGATGAAATTGCTAGTGTGAAGGTATTAGACTTAAGATGTAAGATACAAGATAACTTTGTTATTTTTGTATGGTAAGAAGCAAAATAGTCTTTTAATTTAACCACCACTCTCACAGGATTGGATTAGTGATATAAACCATCATAAAAAAATGATAGTCTCCCCTCATTTTTTTGTCAACTAAACATGATTTTCATGGAGCCCACTAACTCACTTATATTGGTTTATTGTCTCAATAATTAAATTAAAAGAACAGAGAAATAAACAATTATTATAAAATAGAGGAACAATATTTATATGATATAAAGAGTAATAAAATAGAAACATAAAATGTAAGAAAAATAAAAATAATACAAAATAATGTGTCGAAATTTGATTTTAGCATTTTTGTTTACAGTTTGGCTTGGTGCAAGCTTCTCAAAATGTTAATAACTCAAATACAAAAATGCCACTGTGAGTTTTTTCTTTTTCTTTTTTTATTTTATTTTATTTACTTTTTATAATGCCATTCAATTAAAAATAAAAAAGAAAAGAAAAGAAAAGAGAAGTGTAACAACCCTCATTCTGACCTAGTCATACTTGCATACATTTGTGGATGATCTTGTGTTAATATGTGCACTAGCAAATCTTGTTTTGCTTTGCTTGAATAATTGCTTGCACGCTTTGTTCTTGTCTGGTGGGTTGCCGAGGTCATCTTAAGCCTAGGCACCTTTGAAACCTTTGTCACTTAGAACTATCTTAGAACCCCGTTGGTTGACCTCCATGTTCGCCCTGGCATATTAGCTGAGATGTCACCATCCAGGCTGAGGTGCGCGTTGCCTAGGCCGAGATGTGCATTATCTGAGCCGAGATGTTAATATCTAGGCATTCTAGATCCTTGATCCTTGCATGAGTGATTTTGTTCCTGGAATGGTATGACCTGGACCGAGGTGTGGCACACCTAGGCCAGGGTGTGGCACAGTTTAGTCAAGTGTTGTCCTTCCAAGCCGTTGTCCTTGCCCCTTGTTTGCCGGAGTCTTGTTGTTAGCCGATGTCGTTACTTGCCGGTGTGTTCGTGCCGCCTAGCTTGCTGAGTACGCTTTGTCTTGGTCTTGTCTTGTCAAGTCAGTCACCTTTTTGAGTTGAGCGAATCAGCCGATGCCACGTGTCCCGACAGAGGGATTAAGTCAGTGTTTGTCGTGTGAGGCATTTCATTTTGTATCAATCTTGCCTTTTTAGAGAGAGAAGCTCTAGTTAGAAGGAGGAGAAGTTTGAGCTAGAGAAGGTGACTTCCAAGCCTGATCGTTAGAGCTTGAGCCGTTAGATTCGAGTTTTGAGGTTAGAATCTTAACCTATTCTTGTTGTTCTTCTTCATCATCTAGCTGCATTGCACGATCAAACCTATTTTGCACACCATTCATCGATTTAAAGTTGGTTTTAGAAAGAGAAAACGGTTTTCATGTGTTTTTGAAGAAAAGCCTTGTTTGATCCGAAAGTTTGCATCGAAGCTCATGCATTTGTGTTTGTTTTGATAAGATCATTGAGTGTGGGTACCCAGGTCCACGTTTTTGTAGTTATAGCATGAAATCTCAGCTTTTGTATAACAAGTTTTGATCTTTACATTCATCTTCCTCATGCCCATGTCTTCAAGTTCTTCATGCTCATGTTCTTCATGTTTATCAAGAGGGAAACCCAGATTTTTCCCGACTTCACTTTTGAATGTGGCCGTCAGGCTACACCTCGGCAAGGAGGTGTGGGATCGGCTAGACCTGGTAGTTGCGGCCCCCAGCGTGTTTTTCCAAGGATTAAGAATGTGTTACAACTTTGATTGAACTTAGTTTTTGAAGAATGGCCGAGTTCATTTGCCATGTGTGTAGAATTTATTTTGAGTAGTACATTCAATGGACTTTGCCATAGTGTTGTCAATGGACTTGCCCTGACCCCCGACGTTTGAAGAACAAGGTGAGTGGTTCTTTTTAATAAGCTATTTATATGTTTTGATAAAGATTTGCCTTTGCCTTGTTTTGAAGTTTTGTTAAGCTGATAATTGTCCCTGTTTGTATACAAGTAGATCTTGCCCTTGATGACCTTACTCGGAAAGTTCCTCGTGCTGGAGACTTTAAAACTTTCGCAGCACATCTGTTTTGAAAGTCCCTTGTGCTGGAGGACTCTAAACTTTCACAGC